ATAAATGGCTTAATACAGTATCTCTGCTAGATAGCTGGTCAGCCATGAATAGTGAGAAAAACAATGAAGCCTGACCCAAAACCACAGGGAGCCTTCTGATACATTAGCACCTCAAAGAAGGAGGCTTGGAATGTTAAAATCTTCCCCAACCATTGTTACATTCCCCTGACACTAGAGACTAGATCACACCCTACCAGATGGCTTAGACTTTCCCTGATCACCAATATCAWCACAACCACCAATCACCTGAGTCTCAGAAAGAAAGTTGCTGAGGGCTTTTCAAAGGATGATAAACCAATCAAAGGGGCAGGAAATCCAGGCAAAAAAAAAAAAAAGAGAGAATCAAATTCCTCTGTGAGCACCACACCATCTCTTGGAGGCAGTCCATGAGGTTCCTATGCTGCCAGTTAAAAGTCAGAAGGTGGGCTTGGGTGGTACTTTGTAAACTTCCTGGGGCTCCCAATAAAATTGGAGGGCAAGTTCTTTTCTCTGCAAGGATCACCTTCTGCCTTAAGAATGTCCCTTTTTCCCTTTCCTATTCCTCCTAATAAATTCATACCTGTATGAAATCTTTCTGGCATTATTGCAAGAAATGGGATATTAAGAGGAACCTTCTCATTGCCTCATTTCACAGAAGGCCCATTMTGTGTAACATCTATAAAAGCAAACACTCAGAAAAGATGAATACTATTATGAATTTAATTGAAGCAGTCAACTTATAGTTTTTCATGAGGTCTTGATGGAACTGAATTTTACTATCTTGCCTCTTTACAATGTTATTTAAAAAAAACATTTGTATTACACACATACCTGTGCACACATATACCTTATTCACAGTAGAAAAATATTAAATTATGCCTCTAGAAGCTAATAGTTTAACCTAAGTACAAAATATATGGGACATCAAAATTAGATTACTGAATATAAACAAATATTTGATAAAAAAAAAATACTATGTATAAACAAAAGAGAAAATGCACCAAGTGGCTAGATCAGCAAACTGGCAAATATTTATGCAAAGTCTAGAGAATTTTGCTCTCTGCTGTTATCAGGAAGATTGCATATAACTGCGTAAACTACAGCCTTTACACAGAGGAATCTTGACTAATTCCTAGGAAAGACATTTGAAATACAGAATGTTGTCTATGTTCTAAGAGCAGGAGAAGCATAAGTAACACAGTCTGTGCCCTAMGAAAGAGGTGGGCCTAACTCTATGAGGACACACAGTGGGAACTTTAAATATAATGGAATGGGGCTGGGACTGTGGCTCAGTGGTAGAGCGCTTGCCTTGCACGTGTGGGGCACTGGGTTCCATTCTCAGCACCACATAAAAATAAGTAAACAAAGTAAAGATATTATGTCCATGTAAACACACACACACACACACACACACACTCGCGCGCGCGCGCGCGCGCACACACACACACACACACACACATATAAAGGATCATGAAGGAATCTGGTCAAATATCATGTCTGAAGATAGATGTTTTATTAAATTTCTAACTGTAATAGTAAGGAAAAAAGTCAAATGAAAGTAAAACCCTATTGTGATTGATTGCATTTGTTGTCCTATTTTCTTTGTTGTCTATGACAATTGGAAGATTAATTAGGTTTTAAATGAAATACTGGAAAATTTCTGGTAAACTGCAAAATACTATATATGATGCATATGACAAAAATTTTGATTTTTTTTTCCTGGGATTAAGGACCATTTTATCAAGGCTAGTTTAAATGCTACAATGTGAAACTTAGAAAAATCTGTTGAATTATCAAATAACTCAATTTCTAGTTTTAAACTGTCCAATTTCCCATAGCAGTGATTTTTATTATGGAAACTCACATAATTACTTGCAGTTTCTCTCACTTAATATGCTTACCAAAATACATTTCAGGGTCATCTCTTATGCCCAAACTGTGTATGAGGCAAATTACTRTTGAAAGTTATTTTTGTTTGTAATGTGGAAAATGTCAACTCTTTTAAATCAACTCCCATAACACTAAGTAAACATCATTGCAAATAAATTATCCAATTAAGAAAGTATCCAAGGGGTATATAGCTCAGTGATAGAGGTCTTATCTAGCATGTATGAGCACCTGGGTTCAGTATCCAGCACTGCAAAAATAAATAAATAAGAAACGAATCTGTTTTTAGATTGAGAAAATAGTGTAAATTTTATAATTAAAGAATAAAAGAGGATTGGAAGTAAAAAATTAATTAATATACCATGCTTCTAATATATCTTCCTTGCTTTAGAGAAAGCATTTCACACATACTAACCATTATCTCCCCAACCCCCTCCAAAAAAAATGGGTTTCCTGAGAGACTCTACAAAAACTGTAAGGTCTGCTAAGCTCCTTGACCAAAAAGCCCACTTACTGAGGTAAATTAATATATCTAGCCTTCTATGGTCATTTTATGAAATTAGGAAAATATCTGAGTGTTTAGTAGTCTTAGTGGATATAAGGACKTAATTTGGTTTAAAATATAAAATAAGATTAGTTGGAGTCAAAGAACCATAGAGTATTACTCCTTATAACAACTACATGTATGACCAAGCATCCCGTTTACAAAGGTGAACTTGCCAGAGAGGAGAGCTCAGAATGGCACTCACCCTGAAATGAAAGTTATTCTTATTTATAAGTCACCATTGTGGTGACTATGTTACCTTTCTTCTGAAAGAGGACTCTCTAYCCACAGCTTACAATCATTGTTTTAGTGTATGTTATTCTTAATTAGAAGTCAGATAATTGACAATTCACAAGGGCCAAATTATAGAACCAGCCTATGTGTCCATCAAAGGATGAATAGAAAAGACAATGTGGTATATATACACAAAGGCATTTTACTCAACCATAAAGAAAAATGAAATTATGTCAAGGAAAATGGATGGAATTTGAGAGCATTATATTAAGGGAATAAACCAAACTCAGAAATCTGTCAATGGTCGTATGTTTTCTCTGATATGTGGAAGCTAGAGAAGAAAAWGAAGACGAAAAGTGGAGGGGGTGAATCACATGAAAAGTAAAGGGAGATCAAGGGACCAAGGGGAGATATGAGGGGAGAAAAGGAAAAATACTAGGRAACAATATTGACCAAATCATATTGTCATGTTATATGCATGTATGAATGTGTAACAATGAACCCCACTCTTATGCATAATTATAATATACCAATAAACAGTGAAAAAAGAAGAAAAAAAATAAAAGCAATTAGAGTACAATCAAATAAGATTAATACACTTTATAAGGTAGTTTTCCCCGTTAGTTTTCCTCTCTTTCTTTAGTAATTCTTTAGGAATTACTTAGGAAATTTTCTTATGAAAACAAAGGAAGTAGAAATCTAAATCTATTCTTTGTTATAATTGTTACTGTACTTTCCTCTTCTTTAAATTGATTTTAAAGTGATAATGTCTCAGTAGTTGAAATTAATAATATCAAATATTTCCTAAGAATATAAATAATCATTCATGTGATGTAATTAAATATATTGTAAACCACATTGGAAGCCCACATACTCACTATTTGACTTGTGTTTAGGTTAAATTTAATTTTCTCTTTCAGATAGTTTTTGAAGCCAAGTGCTGCTGCTAAACAAATTAAGTGGCAAAAGAAATTTAAATACCTGCTATCCAGAAAATGGGTGGTTATCTGTTGTATGGTTAAGTTGCTACATTACTTATATTATATTATATTATATTATATTATATTAYWTWWMTTATATAAATAGGTAGTGATATTAGTAATATAGATATAATATATTACTAATATCACTACCTATTTTTAAAGTACAATTAAGGCAACTCTATGTAAATAATGGAGTCTAAAGTCTACATGGAAATATAACTAGTGGTTCTCAAATTAGGGAACCTCAGATCAGCTGAAGACTTATTAAAACACAGATTGTGGGGTCCCACTTCTGGATTTTGTGATTCAGTAAGTCTGGTGTGAGGTCATAAAATTTACAATTCTAACAAGTTCCTAGGTGATGATGATGCTAGTGGTCCAGGGAGTCATGTTTCTCAGCATAATCAGCATAGTTRTTCTCAACTGCTTAATTTTTTCAGTGCTACAGCATCTATGAGTTTCTGTCCACTAAGGGCAGCTACATAGCTTTTCACCAGCACTCTTTCTCACATTCTTGTTTCCAGGAGTTTCAGTAAATTATGTTAATCTAATTTTTCTTTGGGTGTTTCCCTATTTTTATTGCTGTCTTGAATGTTTGACCACATATATCATTATTATAATGGGCAATGCTCTATGGTTCTTTGACTCCAACTAATCTTATTTTATCTTTTTAAACCAAATTAAGTGCTTACATTCACAAAGACTACTAAACACTCTGACATTTTCCTAATTTCATTAAATACCATAGAATGCTAGATATAATAATTTTTACTTACTTCCCTTTATGTAACTTCTATATCCTGGCATAAAATATATTAAATTTTCCTGTAGTCCTATGAGCACAATAATAATGTTCTCAATGTAACTTTGAATTAAGTATAAAATTGTTTACGATTTTGAATACTGCCCTTAATATGATGCTTTCTTATATTACATTACACAGTGCATAAATAGATATTAATTACATGTGCTTTTAAATTTTTTCTGCTGTAGACAAAGAGAAAAAAGTAGGACTACTACAATTTTTTAAAAGCAATTCTATAATGGTAGATAATTTACTGAGTAATTTGCTAATTTACTCATAAAACTCTTTTTATGTGAGTCATATTTTGAGAAATGTTTTAAAAGTTACCTATTTGTTATTGTTCTTATTGGATTCATTTAATTAAATGAAAAAAAAATAAAGTTTGCAATCCAAACTCCATTTTTTGAATCCATAGAATATTCTGGGAAAATATACACATATACTTTTTAAAAGGTTACTCTTAAAAGGAAGAGGAAAATTCTCAACGCCTTCTCTGAACTGTTTTTTTTTCCCCTCCTTTGTTACAGGTATCCATATTTCAGCTATATTAATCTTTTAAAACAAAAAAATGGATTTCTTAAATTCATCTGATCAAAACTTGACCTCAGAGGAACTGTTAAACAGAATGCCAGCCAAAATTCTTGTGTCTCTCACTCTCTCCGGGCTGGCACTGATGACAACGACCATCAACTCCCTTGTGATTGCTGCAATTATTGTGACCCGGAAGCTGCACCACCCAGCCAATTATTTAATTTGCTCCCTTGCAGTCACAGATTTCCTTGTAGCTGTCCTGGTGATGCCCTTCAGTATTGTGTATATTGTGAGAGAGAGCTGGATCATGGGACAAGTGGTCTGTGACATTTGGCTGAGTGTCGATATTATCTGTTGTACCTGCTCCATTTTGCATCTCTCAGCTATAGCTTTGGATCGTTATCGGGCAATCACTGATGCTGTTGAGTATGCCAGGAAAAGGACTCCCAAGCATGCTGGCATTATGATTACAATAGTTTGGGTTATATCAGTTTTTATCTCCATGCCTCCTCTATTCTGGAGACACCAAGGAACTAGCCGAAATGATGAGTGTGTCATCAAGCATGACCACATTGTTTCCACCATTTACTCAACATTTGGAGCTTTCTACATCCCACTTGTATTGATTTTGATCCTCTACTACAAAATATATAGAGCAGCAAAAACATTATACCACAAGAGACAAGCAAGCAGAATTGCAAAGGAGGATCTGAATGGCCAAGTCCTCTTGGAGAGTGGTGAGAAAAACACTAGACTGGTCTCCACACCCTACATGCTAGAAAAGTCTCTATCTGATCCATCAACAGACTTTGATAGAATTCATAGCACAGTGAAAAGTTCCAGGTGCGAGTTGAAGCATGAGAAATCTTGGAGAAGGCAAAAGATCTCAGGGACAAGAGAACGAAAAGCAGCCACCACCCTGGGATTAATCTTGGGTGCATTTGTGATATGTTGGCTTCCTTTTTTTGTAAAAGAATTGGTTGTTAATGTTTGTGAAAAATGTAAAATTTCTGAAGAAATGTCAAATTTTTTGGCATGGCTTGGTTATCTCAATTCCCTTATAAATCCACTGATTTATACAATCTTTAATGAAGACTTTAAGAAAGCATTCCAAAAACTTATGCGCTGCCGATGTTAGTTTAAACAAAGTTTATCATTTTAGGGTAGAGTTTTTTTTTTTTTTTTTTTATCTTTCAGTAGAGTAACTAAATGAATGTTAAATAATATACCATTAAAAACTTTTAGAGGACATATTAAAGCTGCTAAAAGGATAGAATTTATATTTTATTAGAACCATTAATAGAAAGTGTATTGATTTCATCATTCCAATCAAAATTAGAAAATAATTTATTCAGGYTATAAAAAATATTTTGCCTATTCTATGTATCTAAAATGATAACTGGAAAAAAATATGAGTATATGGTATTAATGACAATAATTTTCCAGGTTTATATCTTAAAAAATTATAGAAGAATTTTCAGTTAACAACATACTTCCATCCATAATCTCTATATGATCCTATTGTTTTATTGTATAATCCTTTATTTTACAAAAAAGRTATAATTTTACAATGCACACATTTCTCCTTCTTAACCACTTTTGGCCCTTTTCCACCTTACCCTGAGCATAACAATTTACTTAGTATGAGTAAGGATGAATACTGTCTTTTTATTTTGGTGGTAAAGAGTAATCCTAAAATGAGTTAGGTATGGCAAAATAATTCTGAATAATGAATGAGTACATTTTAAATTTTCAGTTTGGTATAYGTTTCTAGAAGAATATTATCTTAACCATGTAGTATCAACATTTGAAATCAAATCCTCACGCAAGGAGTGGGAGGAAATTATAATTTCCCCTTGTTTATTTTAGAACCAGATTTAAGGCACTAAGCATTCTAGGTTATTCACCATACTTATATTTCCAATCTCTTATTTAAAACAGAAAATGCATTTCACTTCTTTTAATGTTAATTAGCTCAGTTACTAACTAAATCTGTCACTTTATACTTCATCTCCATACCTTTGATTTAAACATCATTTTCTTTTTATGAGAGAGAATATAATAGGAACTTTCCTTTTAATTAAACCACCTCTAGTTTTCTGATTGGTGGAAACAAATAATCTTTGAGAAGGCTCATCATAAACCAAGACTATTTGTAAAACAACATATACCTTTATTTTTGAATCACAACTTTGTATTTTAAAATATACTTTGCTGRGGGAGGTGATTAAGAGTGTGTTACATCATTTTTAAATATATCTATGATACATTGCCCCTAATATAATACATATTTACAGTTTCCATTTTATATAAGACACTGAGACATGTATTAAATAGAAGATACAGGAAAAAATAAAATACAGTTTCTTCTCTTCATATATGCTCATAGTCAAAAATAAAAAACAATACAATGAAAACTATGATAGAAAAGAACAAACAAGGATTTGTCAAGAAAGTTATTTACATAGTTATGATGATACAGAGAAAAAATTKATCACATCTGGTTGAGAAAAGAATGGGAAATTTTCATAAAAAATGGATCTAAAAGTGGTGTCAGATAACACTAGGGTTTAGGCAAGAGAAATGGAAAAGTGCTCTCCAAGTGAAGGCCATATCAGAGATCAGGCTGTGTCATGCAAGTGTTCATGGGGCATGTTCATGAAGTAACAATTAGTTTGACAGATATTTAGAGCAAAGGAGATTAAAGGAAACATTGGGTATTGTTAATGACTGCCTTTCCACATTAAAGAAGAAGAAGAAGAGGAGGAGGAGGAGGAGGAGGAGGAGGAGGAGGAAGAGGAGGAGGAGGAGAAGTCTACTATCAATTTATGAATTTATTGTGGTCATTGAGTGTTCACTGGTACTTTTAGCAGAAGTATTACAGTTTAGAACAAAAAGATGAAAAAAAAATTTGATCGGGTTTGAGCTACTGGATATAATGGTTTTTGTTAGAAAGCAAACTGATAATCCAGGCAAAAGCTGATGAAGTTCTGAACTCCGTTCTGGCAATGGAAATCAAAAGAAGAGACAAGTGAGACAGGAATATAGGTTGAGTCTACAGGTTATATAGCAAACTCTTTAATAAGATGATGAAGCAATATAAGTTGGTGAGATAAGGTTGTCATTAACTGAATAAGAAACTCAACAGAAAGGACCTATTGATGAAATGATAATTTCTCTTGGGGATATGTTAACTACATAAAGACATAACAGAGCTCCTGGGCATTGCTAACCACTTCTGGCCCAAGCAAAAATGACAGATGAGTTTTCTCTCTCTGACCACAAAACAACAGATATGTAAGGCTTTGGGCCATGTATTTTGTCCTCACTGTGCTTTCTTAAAGGATCCATATGTTTTGTTCAAGTCCAAAGCCCGGGGTAGTTCTCATTCTCTTAACATCTCTTTCCCATCCTCAAGTACCAATTTTTTATTCTGTGATTGATTCATTCAAAGAACTTGAAAAAGCTAAAATGATCTGTTAATTTATTTTCACTCATCTCTTACACACACATACACACACACACGTGAATTTGTGTGTGTGTGCGTGTGTGTGTGTGTGTGTGTGTGTGTGTGTGTAAGAGATGGGGAATTATAAGAGACACAAACCATCAACCCAAAAGAACAGGTGAGGGCCACCCGAATATAGATACTGCCTTTTGATTTGAGTTGGATGAAAGCTCAAATCCGGAAAGATTATGCCACAAGTGACAGGGAAATCAAATATTCCTTTGGAGTTCAGCAAAAAATCAAGTTTACTATTTCTCTGAGTGTGTTTCCATTTTTTTAGTTTGAAGGAGCCACAGCACATTGCAGTAATTCTCACTTCATCTATGTGTTTTCCCCATAAGGTGAGGGTCCATACTGATGCTGCCATCCCTCATGAACAAATATGAGTAATGTCTCTTTAATATCTTTAAATGGTAAGGAATGAAAGAGCTAATAATCTGCAACTTTCACTTTATTTGAAATTTATCTAAAAACACATGTACTTAACATGATATATTTCCCAGAATATATACAATTTAGTCTCTCAAAGAAATATTTTACAAGTTACTAAAAGCTCATGATTTTTGGAAATAAAAAATCTATAATAAATAAAATAATATAGCAGTTCATATATTTAACTAATAATGTAGAGCAAGAAAATATAAATATCATAGAAAGTGATTAAGTAGGAGAAATAAAACTATGCTTCCTGATAGAAATTTTATATAGCAATACCAAAAAATTAAGTGAAGAATTTATTTTTGATATCCTCCTCTGTATCTTTTCAAATGAAGGATGTGTGAAAATCAAAGACAGTCAAAAAAGAAGTCAAGCAAATGGATATTAAATTCAGTAAAGCAGACTATCTTTAAACATAACTATGCACGAATTTTGCTTGAAAATCCACTTCTGCTGTAAACAGTGCCCAGGCTTATTTTCTTTTTGTTAAGAGGGTTTTTTGTTTTGTTTTGTTTTGATTTACAACAGGCCCATAGCACAAACAGCTTTATCCAGGTTGATGAGTTGATCCCTAAGTAAGCCCAATTTTCTTTTTGAATTCCCGAAACCAATCTTCCTTTTCCTTTTCTGGTTTGTGAATTCCCCAGCCATCTATGTTACTTATGTTAGTTGAATCGATTACAGACTAGTTCCCTTAGTAAAGCACAATCCCCGTACTAGTAGGTTCAGTTTTAATCTTGTTCCTCTTACCCAAGTTTTTTTTTAATCAAAAACAATAAAGAATTAACTGAAARCCAATTACTAGAAAATATGATTTGCTCCACAAAATATCATGAAACAGGAAATAATTATGCAGTTTTTGCTAAAAGGCATTCCTCTGTTTCAAGGAAGAACTGTTTTCTTGTGAATAAAAAACAAAACTACTTTTGACTTATAGGTCAGAAAATCAAATTTGTTGTATTTCAACAGAAGGAAAATATGAATGATTTTTTTCCTTAATATATTCCAAAGTCCTTAAAAAATAATCCTGCTTAATTTAAAATGTGTCCATATTAATTTGCTTCAGAGATATGTTTCTAATATCTTCCTAATAACTAAGGTGATTAAATGTAGACTCTTATTTTGCCAAAAATTATTTTTAAAAGAAAATTAGTATTTTTATCATAAATAAAATAAATATTTTMATGTGACATTGTGATACTTTTTCTTGGTCTTTTCACTCAGTTCACTTTCCCTCATTTTTTAAAATGAGGAAAATATTGCTGAAAAATATTTTCCAACATTATAATAAATTTGGTTATTAATATAGAACATCTATACAAAATGTGGTAGTATTTTAATTCCACCTAGGAAAAACAGATTTTTTAAAGAATTTTTCATCTCTGGTCAAAAATAATGAAGTTCTGTTTAAATAATATTAAAGTCTAATATTATCTTTATCAAGAATAACAACAAATCATGTCCAAGCAGTCTTTCATTAGAGCTTGTGTTAGATGCAATTCCAGCTTTTCTCATAGAAGGTTTCTACCTCTGCAAAGACACTAAAATAATATTATTCATTTATGTGGACCCAGCAAAGCTTGACATGTCTTTCTTCCTATGCTTTTCAATATCTTTTCATTAAGTTACAATAGTATTCCTAAACCATATATACTTAAGATTCACACCTAAAAGTTATACTTACATTGTGTACATCATTACCATCACATAATTATACTATATAGCTGGGTCATTTTGTGTGTCATTTTGCAATGCAAACTGACATTAAGAAACACTGATTTGGGGCCTAGCATGGTGGCACACACCTGTAATCTCAGTCACTTAGGAGTCCGAGGCAGGAGGATCACAAGTTCAAAGCCAGCAATTTAGCAAGGCACTAAGCAACTCAGYGAGACCCTGTCTATAAATAATATATAAAAAAGGGGTTGGGGGTGTGGCTCAGTGGTTAAGCACCCTGGGTTCAATCCCTAGTACCAAAAAAATAAAAAGAAAGAAAGAAACACTGAATTGAGGGGGAAAAAATCAATCTTAACATAGCACACTATGGAGCTTGAAGATGAAATGGGAAGTTGAAGCAGAGTACTTCAAATTTCAGATTTTAGAAACTGTGTCTGTGAGTTCAAAATGGAGCTCAAGAATCTGGGTCTTTAGCAAGAATCTTAGATTATTCCAATGAAAGTGGAGTCTAGAGC